TCCGGGGTCCTGGGCGTGGGGAGGGCGGGGAGGGCGGTGTCCGGCCGGGCTCCTTCTGGGGTCCTGGGCGTGGGGAGGGTGGGGAGGGCGGTGTCCGGCCGGGCTCCATCCGGGGTCCTGGGCGTGGGGAGGGCGGTGTCTGGCTGGGCTCCTTCTGGGGTCCTGGGCGTGGGGAGGGCGGTGTCCGGCCGGACTCGGGCCGGTCCAGCTCAAGCGCTGTTCCTCTTCTCCCGAGCAGGTGGTGAGGAAGGTGAAGTCCATGCAGATGTTCCACACGCCGGTCACCTCGGCCATGCAGGGGGACCGTCTGGGCCTCTGTGTGACTCAGTTTGACCCCAAGCTGCTGGAGCGCGGGCTGGTGTGTGCGCCCGACACGCTGCGCACCCTGCACGCCGCCATCATCTCTGTGGAGAAGATCCCCTACTTCCGGGGGCCCCTGCAAACCAAGGCCAAGTTCCACATCACCGTGGGCCACGAGACAGTCATGGGCCGCCTGCTGTTCTTCAGCCTGGCCCCAGACGGCCTCGACCGGGAGCCTGCGCCGGACTCCTTCGACTTCTCCCGGGAGTACCTCTTCCAGGAGCAGTACTTGAGCAAGGACGCGGCGCCCGCGGCGCCCGACAGCCAGGCCGACCGCGCCGGCCGGGCGCCCGAGGGTGGCTGCCCACGGCAGCAGTGGGCGTTGGTGGAGTTCGAGAAGCCCATCACCTGTCCACGGCTGTGCCTGGTGATCGGCTCCCGGCTGGACGCGGACATCCACTCCAACTCCTGCCGGCTGGCCTTCCACGGCACCCTGCTCCACGGGCTGGAGGACAGGAACTACACGGAGAGCTTCCTCCCTACACTGAGGGTGTACAAGCTGAAGCACAAGCACGGCGTGGTGGACCGGGTGAGCGCGGCCATGCTGGCCTCCCCAGCCCGCAGCGGAGGGTGGGACCCGCGGCCCGGCCCGGCCCAGCCGGGAGGCCCTCAGGCCGCTGGGCCTCTGCAGGTCTCAGAGGCCCATGAGCTCTCTCCTCCGGGCCACGCAGAGCTAGGCCTGCCCCAGGCAGGCCCCTGCTGTCCTGGCTCTCCTCCCGCTCTCCCTTCCGTGGTGGAAACAGCCCTTCTGGTGCCTGCAGCCCAGCCCCTGCCCCGCCGGCTCCCGTGCGCCAGCCTCTGGGACACTTCCTGCCCGCCCCAGCCACTGTGTCTAGGCTGTGGGCCCGGCCAGGCCACACCTACAGGGTGGCCCAGAGGAGGGAAGGAGACGGAAGGCCACGCGGCCAGGTGCATCGCTGTCACAGGACGCAGGCCTAGCGTCCAGCCTGTCCCCGGCTGGACGGAGCTGGAGCAGCCCTCTGGAAGTGCTGGCCGTCGGGCCTGCCCCGCCTCCCGTGAGCAGCGCTGTCCCCGGTGGCTGGTCCCGTTGTGTCCCTAGGGGTCCAGATGACCTCGTGGTCCCGGGCCGAGCGGGCGTGGCCTGGGCAGCCTCCGCGGGGCCTTCGGGGCCTCAGCCAGGCCCCGCCCCACACAGCACCAGCACCAGCCCACCCGGGGCAGGCTCCGTCTGTTCCCACCGTCCGTTCCAGCCCTCCCTGACCCTTCCCCTCCTGTGGCCCAGGAAGCTTCCTGTGCCCAGGGCCCGACTCCTTCCCCCTGACGGGGGCCCGGGCCAGCTGTGCGGCGGTTGCAGCACTATCCCCCTCCGTCCGACCCATGGTTTGCCAGCTTTTCGGGTGCAATGCCGTGTAGTGCTCCACTGTCCCTGAGCGTGCCCCTCCTGTCAGGCCCGTGCTGGCCGGGCAGGGCCGCCTCCCGCCGGAGCAGGCAGACGCTCAAGGGCCGGGGAGAGCCGGGGCGGCCCTGGCCTGGCTCCTGCCTCCGCGCTGGAAGGACCGGAGCAGCCGCCTCCAGAGCCAGAGGCTGAGGCCTCTTCCCCTGAGGGAGGCTGGCCGCCCCAGGGGTCGGCGTCCAGACCCACCAGCGGCTGCCCCTGAGCAGCCCCGGAGGGGGCCCAACGGGGGCCTGTGGAGAGGGTGGGAGGGGGGCTGGCCTTGGGGCCGCTGCACCCCACCTCCGAGGCCAGCCGCAGGAGTGAGGGAGCAGCCCACTCGCCGCTGGCTGAGCACTTACGGCGTGCCTTTAGGCTACGGATATTATGTGTCTTTGTGTTGTTGTGGTTCATTTTTGCTCTGGTCCTGGGCTTGAACTCGGGGCCTGGTCGCTGTCCCTGAGCTTTGGATGCGCAACGCCAGTAGGCGACCACGCAACCCCCAGTCAGCGGCCGCCTCCCCAGGCCAGCCCTGCGCTCTGGTGTCCTGGTGGACGCGGCGGCTCGCGTGGGACCCGCGCCGGCACAGCGGCACGGACGGGCAGTGTGCTCTCCCGACCCGGACCTCCTCCGGGTGCCGTGGAGTGTGACCACACGTGGCCAGGCCGGGGCCCCACTCTGCCTCTCCTCCCGCGAGCAGGCCGCTGTGGGACCGCCGGTGTGACCGGCTGCTTCACCCGAGCGCTTCTGGCGGAGGGCTGCGGAGAAAGGGCTGAGGTGAAGGAGACGTTGGGGGAGTCCGGAGGCCTGGCCCGTGTAGCCCTGCGCACCCGTGGAGGGCAGAGACGCCGCAGGGTGACGTGGCCAGCCCTGGCCTCTGGAGCTGGTCTGATGGAGCGGGCAGGGCAGAGGCCGCTTCCCTCCCGCTGCCCCACGGCAGCCTTGCGGCCCAGGCTCGTCGGCCCGGTCTCGGCCTGGGCCCCGTCCCTGAGCATCTGTGCTCCGAGTTAGCACTCCAGCACTGGGCGTCTCTGCTGCATTCCCAGTTGTCCAGTGATGGCTTGGAGCCTTCTGAGGAGCCAGCCTGACAGGCGGGAGCCACGGCGCCCAGCCCTCTCCTTCTTCTTACAGAAGAGGGAAGGTGGCTCGCCTCGCCCAGGTTCCAGCGGGCGGGCCCAAAAGCGGCCCCTTGAGCCTCCCAGGGCTCAGCCGCGCCTCTGTCCAGGTGTGCCCGTGTCCTTCTGTCATTCCTGGTAGCCTTAGGGTGACCAGAGAAGCGAAGAGCCGCTAGCACGGCTTGCCCGTCCCAGGCAGCCTCGGGCTCTCCCGTGTGTGTGTGTGTGTGTGCGCGCGTGTGCGTGCACGGGCATGTGCGTGTGCACACGTGTCTTCCTGGGTCTCTGGGCCGCAGCTCTAAGAGGAATAATTCTGCTCACGGCATGAGAGGGAGTGAGGAGGAACCCATGGACGCTCCGGCTTGTGGCCGCTGCTGGGTGAATGCTTGTCCTGGCTCTGGCTGTTGGCCGTGCTGGCGTGGCTGGTCTCCACAGCGGCGTAGTGTCTCTCTCAGTCTGATAACCACAGAGGAGTCCTTCCGGGAGGTGGGTGCTCTACGTCAGGTTTTGGTGTTCTGACTAACATCGAAGTCCTAATCCTAACAGCCACTTTTTTCGGAGGCTGCAGAGGCTTGCCCCGGCTGTGCCCGTGCGGTGGGTGGCAGAACTCCAGCCCTGCCAACCCTTCCTCCTCAGGGCCAGCCCTCGGGAGCCCCGGCTCTGTCTCGCCGTCGGCCTGCCCGCCTGCCCGCCTTGGAATTAGAATCCCTACGTTAGCACTTGGGCAGTTCCCCAGCCCTCACAGAGAGATGCGTGTGAGGACACAATCACCGGCCGCCAAGTCCCTGCGCTGAGGCTGGGATAGTGGCTGGCTGGGCCGGCCCTGCACGACGTGCCTGCACGACGTGTGCGCGTCCCCGGAAGCCGCTGGGTGACCCACCGGCCCGGCCGGCATTGTCCCCAGGAGAGCCGCCAGCACGCCACACGCACACACCAAGAAGCCCCCAGCTGTTCCAGAGGCTCCCTCCTTGTGGCTAGGCTAGTGTCTGATCCTTTAGCCAGAAGAGGCTGTAGTTTGGAAAACAGCACACTTGTGTCTCTTTCTCTTACACACACACAGAGGCAGCCACGCTCACACGCAGTCACACACACACAGGCAGCCACGCTCACACAGTCACACACACGGTCACACTGACAGACACACACAGTCACACTCACAGTCATGCTCACACACACAGAGGCAGCCACTCTCACACGCAGTCACACACACACACACAGGCAGCCACGCTCACACAGTCACACACAGTCACACACAGTCACACTCACACACACTCACACAGTCACACACACAGTCACACTCACAGACACAGTCACAGACACACAGTCACACTCACACACGCTCACACAGTCACACAGTCACACTCACAGACACACACAGTCACACTCACAGTCACACTCACGCTCCCAGAGGCAGCCACACTCACAGTCACACTCACACACACAGTCACACTCACACACACAGAGGCAGCCACGCTCACACAGTCACGCGCACACACACACAGTCACATAGTCACACGCACACACACATGTAGTCACACAGTCACACTCACACATGCAGTCAGTCACGCGCACACACAGTCACACTCACATGCAGTCACACAGTCATGTGCACACACAGTCACACATGCAGTCACACAGTCACACACACACATGCAGTCACAGTCACGCGCACACACACACAGTCACACTCACACAGTCACACACACATATGCAGTCACACACACATGCAGTCACACAGTCATGCGCGCACACACACACATGCAGTCACAGTCACACACACACATGTAGTCACACAGTCACTCGCACACATGCAGTCACAGTCACACTCACACAGTCACACTCACACATGTAGTCACACAGTCACGCGCACACACATACACACATGCAGTCAGTCACACTCACAGTCACACACATGCAGTCACACACACAGTCACACACACACATGCAGTCACACAGTCATGCGCGCACACACATGCAGTCACAGTCACACACAGACACACACACATGCAGTCACACAGTCATGTGCACACAGTCACACTCACACATGTAGTCACACAGTCACGCGCACACACATACACACATGCAGTCACAGTCACACTCACACAGACACACACATGCAGTCACACAGTCACTCACAGTCACACACACACATGCAGTCACACTCACACAGTCACACACACACATGCAGTCAGTCACACTCACACAGTCACGTGCACACACATACACACATGCAGTCACACTCACACAGTCACACACACACATGCAGTCAGTCACACTCACAGTCACGTGCACACACATACACACATGCAGTCACACTCACACAGTCACACACATGCAGTCACACAGTCACACTCACACAGTCACACTCACACATGTAGTCACACAGTCACGCGCGCACACATACACACATGCAGTCACAGTCACACACACACAGTACACACACACATGCAGTCACACAGTCACGCGCACACACACCGTCTCTCACCCCCAGTCCCCCACTCTGGCTTGGTGGAGGGAGTGACCTGGGCCGGGTGGTGTATTGTGGGGGGCGTGGAGAGACCTGTCCGTGTGCTGAGGCCAGCCCCATCTCTGGCACGCTTGGCCGTCCCACCGCAGGGCTGGGCCCCGGGAGTGTCGCAGACGCCCGCCGGGAGCCGTGTGCGGCAGCAGACGGGGGGGGGGGGAGAGCCCAGAGCCACAGACCCGGCCTTGGGGTCCACCTGGGGCCTGGCCCAGCCTCCCGACCTCAGCCCAGCTCCCGTCCACCCCCTCTGCCCTCCCTATCTTTGGGTACCCATTTTTCCTGGACGTGGGGGTTCGCCAGACCCTCCTGGAGACCCGATGAGCGGGTGGTGCCGGCCGCACCGGCGCACGGGGTGTCTGCCGGGCTGCGGCAGCTGCGCGGTGCGGTCTTCCTCTCGCTGCCACAGGCCGGCCCCGGGCCTGGCCCCGCTGGGATTCTGGCTTCCCGTAAGTGCCCTGCTCCCTGTCCCACAGCCCGGTTCTCAAGCTGGGCGGCTCCATGCCCCTGCGCCCACAGGGTGCGGCCGGTCGCTGCCCGGCCGAGGAGCAGCCGAGGGCCCAGCACTGACTGCTGGGGGCAGGGCAGGGCTGTGTGCTGGCCTTGAGCCATCGCCACCGAGTCTCCACGCCCCGACAGGCCCGGGCCCGAGGGTGCGTGCTTGTGCAGGTCCGGGGAGGGGCCTGCCGGCCGGCCGCTACCCCACAGAGCCTCCCGGTCACCCTGCCCCTCCACAGGGCGGCAGCATACGTGGCGTGCACTTGACAGTGGGCCTTGAAGCAGGCAGAGCCGCTGCCGGGGGAGCAGCCGGCCGCTGCTGTCTCCCCGCTCCTCCCTAGGGCGGGGTCCAGGGGCGCTGGCCCCGGGCCTCTCATCCGCCTGCTCCTATCATACCCGAGAAGCCCTGACACGCAAGGACTGGCTGACCAGACTTGACCTCCCTCCTGACCAGCCGGCCCGAGCCCCCAGCCGCCCGGGAGGCCCCAGAACACCCCGCTCCTCCCCTCATCCCACGTGCTTAAACAGTGAACGGGGCCGCGCCCCACACAGCCAGACCTCGGGGCACACGGGGCCTCGTCTCCCTGTACGCAGCGCTGACACTAACTCCAGGCCGTCTGTCTGTCTGTCGTGAAAGCCCCCGAGCCTTTTGACGCTCCCCCTGAAGTTAATAGAGTCAGCCTTGGCCTAAGATGCGGCTTGGGGAAGAACGGCCCTCCGTGCCTTGTGGGAGTTGGCTTAAGATAATACTTTAAATCAGTGCCCACCACCGGGGCCGCGTCACGGACCCCTTCATTGCCTGCGTGTTCCAAGTGCCAGGTGGTGTGGCTGGGCCCCGGGGCTCCCCTCAGCCGGGGTCCGCGGGCCGGTCAGCCCGGCGGATGCACAGCAGATGTGGGGCTCTGCCCACGGGCCCAGAGGCTGGCCGCGCATGTCCACCGACCAGTGTGAGCAGAGCCTGCTGAGCAGCCCTGCTCTGGGCCTGTCCAGTCCTGGGGTGCTCCTTGTTTTGTGGTGGTTTTTGTTTTCTTGAGAGTTCTTGCATGCAACCTGGGCTGGCTTCAAATGTCGCGTCTTCCTGTTTGGGCCTCCGGAGTACTGGGTTATGGACGGGCAGCACCATGCCTTCGTGGTCCTGACCCAAGCCATCTTCACTACTCAGCCACTGTGGTACTCGGTCAGATCTGCCCCCAAGGGCCAGGCGTCTTGGGCAACATGGGGCTGGCAGACTTGACTGGCGTTTCCTGGCCACTAACCCTTAGATCTGGCCGTGAGCGCAGCTGCAGCCTTTTGGGGTCCGGGCTATGGTGCGGGGCAGCGGGGCCCCTGCCTCCGCGCTCCAGCTCCCCTCGTGGGGTGGTGTCTCCGCCAGGCCAGAGCCGGGGGTGTGGCTGAGCGTGCAGCCGGGCCAGGCCGGGCTCCTCTGGGGGACACGGCTAGAGCTGCCCCGCGTGGCGGGGTCCCCTCAGTGCCCCCGGGGGCAATGTGGGTCTGGGCGCTCTGCCCTGGAGCTGGGCTCTGGAGGACAAGGAGGTTGCCTGTGGGAGATTCTGAGCTGCGGCAGCTGAGCAAGTAGAAATGACTGTTCTTATCCATGTTTGTATCCAGTTCATCCATCACCTTTTATCTGGTGCTGTGAATCACAGCGGATGGAAGATGTTTTTCCAAAAGGATTTTAGGGTAAATGAGACCATTTCTACTACACAAAGCAATCCGTTTACAGCCTCTGACAGCTTGAGGAGCAGGCAGAGGTTTCCAAGGCTCCGGAGAGCCTGGGGCGGCGTGGGGAAGGCCTGCCGCTGCTGCCCTGCTCCGCGCGCCGGATCTGCGTGCTGTGGGGAGGAGAGCCACAGCACCCCGGCCCGAGACGCCAAAACAGGCCTCCGCTTGAGGAGTGCCCCCCGTCTCCCGTGCCCCCGTCTCCCGTGCCCCAACGCACCCTGTCCCGTCTCCGCCCCCCGCGCTCTGTCTGACGGTGCGCCCGCTCCGTCTCCACACCCCGCGTCCCCCGTGCTCTGTCTGACGGTGCGCCCGCTCCGTCTCCACATCCCGCGTCCCCCGTGCTCTGACGGTGCGCCCGCCCCATCGCCACACCCCGCGTCCCCCGTGCTCTGACGGTGCGCCCGCCCCGTCTCCACACCCCGCGTCCCCCGCGCTCTGTCTGATGGTGCGCCCGCTTTGTCTCCACACCCCGCGTCCCCCGTGCTCTGACGGTGCGCCCGCCCCGTCTCCACACCCCGCGTCCCCCGCGCTCTGTCTGACGGTGCGCCCGCCCCGTCTCCACACCCTGCGTCCCCCGTGCTCTGTCTGACGGTGCACCCGCCCCGTCTCCACACCCCGTGTCCTCCGCGCTCTGTCTGACGGTGCACTCGCCCCGTCTCCGTCCCCCGCGCCCCCCGTGCTCTGTCTGACGGTGCGCCCGCTTCGTCTCCACACCCCGCGTCCCCCGTGCTCTGACGGTGCACCCGCTCTGTCTCCACACCCCACGTCCCCCATGCTCTGTCTGACGGTGCGCCCGCTCCGTCTCCGCACCCTGCGTCCCCCGCACTCTGTCTGACGGTGCGCCTGCTCTGTCTCCACACCCCGCGTCCCCTGCGCTCTGACGGTGCGCCCGCTCCATCTCCACACCCCGCGTCCCCCGTGCTCTGTCTGACGGTGCGCCCGCTCCGTCTCCGCACCCTGTGTCCCCCGCGCTCTGACAGTGCGCCCGCTCCGTCTCCACACCCCGCGTCCCCTGCGCTCTGACGGTGCGCCCGCTCCATCTCCACACTGCTGGCTTCCTGCTGGTGCCCAGGCAAAGCTGCCACACCCCTCTCCGGTGCTCAGCTGTCACCAGCCAAGCTGACTAGCCCAGGGCTGCAAGACTGGCTGCACCGGTCTGTTCTGGCGGGTTCTGCTGGTCCTTCCCCTGGAGGAAGGTGGCTCAGGGTTTCCTGTGAGAGGCCCGGTCACGTGTGCTTGTTTCTGGTCAGCTCGCACGGGCTTGCTCCACGTTGGCTCCCTGGAGTGCAGTAGGGCAGTGTGGGCCTGGGTCTCTGGGACTCCCTCTGGGACTGTCACCAGCCACCCGGGCCTGGCTCCTACCCTTTGGGAAATCTGACTGGTGGGGGCGGCTTCACAGGCGAAGCTGTGAAGGGTCCGGAGGGTCCGCCCACTCCCTTGGGACCCTCTGGGCGGCCGGCTGGACACTCACCTGGGGCCTGAGCCGGGGCCGCAGGGCGTGGGGCTGCCAGGGGCTCGGAGGGCCGGCCAGGGGTGCCGGGGCCACCAGCCGGCTGGACACTCACCTGGGGCCTGAGCCGGGGCCGCAGGGCGTGGGGCTGCCAGGGGCTCGGAGGGCCGGCCAGGGGTGCCGCGGACACACCAGGTGGAACTGGCTGTGGCTGGTGGCGCGTTCTCAGACACGTGGCTCACGGCCCGGGTCAAGGAGCCACCAAGGGTGGGGCTGGTCGGAGAGGCACTGCGGAAGCGTCTGGCTGCAGAGGATGGCATCTGGCTCACCCGGGGTTCCCGGCAGAGCTCCGGGCCACACTGCACACAGGTGCGTGTGGCCGAGTGGAGGCACAGCTAATCCAGGAAGGAGTCCAGAGGCAGGGCCCCGCCAGCCCTGGAGGGCCCCGCCAGCCCTGGAGGGCCCTGGGCCTTCGACAGGCATCAAGGCCGGCCCACAGCGAGCGAGGTGGCCGTGACTGCACCGGTGTGCCCGCTCCCAGCCCGAAGCCAGCTCGCGGGCCGCTGTGTCGGGGCGGCCCGCTCCCCGGCCCGCCGCCGCCCCGCTCCGCGCAGCATTGCGTCTGGCACAGTGCTTCCTGCGTGCGCTAACACCTTCTCTTTGTGGCAGGTAATGGATGACTACAACGTGATCGGCCGCTCCCTTTTCAAGAAGGAGACCAACATCCAGCTGTTCGTGGGGCTCGAGGTGACCCTGTCCACCGGCGAGCGAGGCCTCATCCACAGCGCCTTTGGCCAGAGTGGCAAGTTCAAGATCCACATCCCTGGTGAGTGCCGGCCCCGATCCTGCCCATGCTGCGGGCCCGCGGCTGAGAGGCTGGTGTAGGTAAGCTAGGCGGAGCCTGGGCATAAAGCTGGCGTTAGTCGGCACTCCCGTTCCCCCATCACCTCCTCGGCTTCCTGGGGAGCGGCGGTGGATCTGATCATTGAGGACGGGAGGGTGGGGTGGGGGGCAGCGCCAGGCGGGCACCCCACTGGTCGCCGGGAGCTGCCACCTCCCCTGCCCGGCAGAGGTGGAGGAATCAGGCTCCCGCCAGCCTGCCGGATGCTGAAGTGCGTATGCCTCCAGAAATGGGCGCTCCTGGGTTTCCAGGCTCGTGGCCGCTCCTGAGGCTACGTGTCCATTTATTTGCTCAGCCTGCGTTTCACTGAGGACAATGCGTACCAGGCTCCTGCTGGGTGCCGGGTCACGGGAGGGACACGCTCACAGCTGAAGGTCCCGCGTGGGCTGGCAGGGGGGTGGGCTTGCGGGTGTGCTGGCGCAGAAAGGCTGGCGCACGGCAGGGCAGGGCGCAGGGCCTCTGTCCAGGGGCCGGTGCGCGCTGGGGAGGGGCAGGCGGGGGGCCACCATGGCTCCGCTGGTGTGGAAGGGGGGCGTTCAGAGCACTCCACCCCACCTCCAACCTTGGTTTTCTCAGTGTCGTGTTGGACAACTTTTTAAACATACTGCAGTGTTGCAGAATCCCACAAGGAATCCATCACCCACCCCGGCTCTGCAGATTCCTTGTCTTTTCCGTGGCTTAGACTGGGCTGGAATGGCAAAGCCAGACACAAAGGGATGTGTGGCGTATGTGAGAAAGATGGTGCTGGTCTGGGGCTCCTGGCAAAGCCTTCTGTGGGGGGGGGGCCTGGCACCCGCCCGGCACCTTCCAGACCCCGCACTCCCCAAGCCCTTACTCCTCCCCGCCCGCCCCCGTCCCACGCCCCGCCCCCGCCCCGCCCAGCAGCACCACTGCTCCTGGCTGGGTGTCCCACTAAACCCCTGGCGGACCTGTGTGCAGCTCGGGGGCCCTGGGGTTTCATGGGGCCCAGCACAGGGGGGGAGAGGGGGCAGCCGGCAGTGGCGGCAGCCTTCGTCATTACGCCCTCCTCCCTGGCAGGTGCAGTGGCATTTCCAGCATCTCAGTGGCAGGCAGTGTGGCTGGAGCGTCCGCCATGACTGCGTGAACCTGTAGGGTGTTTCTTAAGAAGGGTTCTCAAGTTGGATTGCCGGAACTTTCACGCTTACAACTTAAGCGTTTCTGGCAGTGATCCTACACGCCCTTCAGCATGTATCCTCAGCCCTGCTGGGCCGTTTTCCTACCGCCCAGCGTAGCCTGGCCCGGGGCCGTTGTGTCTCCTAATTGGATATCTGGCAAATGGTGGCTCAGGGATTTTACTCTCATCTCTTAGGTAGCTAGTAAGGTCAGCCATTAGGCCACATCCACATTTCTTAAGAGACTCAGAAGTGAGTCCTGATACCCGGAGCCTCCTGCCTGGGCTCCTGTCTGGGCTGGGCGCCTTCTGTGGGCTGGCTGGTAGAACGCGGTCGTGTAAGCGTGGCACACGAGCCCGCACGGGCACCGGGCACGGCCACCCTGTGGCTCTCGGCTGCCCTCGATACTCGCGTCTCTGCTCGCAAGTCTCACGTCACCACCTGAGGCCCTGAGGGGAGGCTGGGCCTGGGGGACAGCCAGGGCGCCTGGTGCACATGACACCCCGGGCCTGCCGCCGCCCTCAGCCTCCTCCCTACGAGCCGCAGAGAAGGCCGGGCAGTGGCGTGGTGGTGGACGGTGGTGGTGTTGGTGGTCAGGGGCCTGGCAGCTGCATGCTGGAGCTCCATGGCCGCACCGTGTGGAGGAGACGCATTTGAGTGCCGGCCTTTCCAAAGTCCTGGCTTCCTGGCATGGCCTCCCGCCAGCCTCCGCGGAGGCCCCGAGCCAAGAGCAGGAGGGCCATGGGTCCTCGGCCCCTGCACCAGGCCCACCCTGGCCCGGCCTGTGCCTGCAGCTGGCGGCTCCCACGGAAGGGCTGGCCGACGGCGGGCTGGGAGTTGAGTAGGGATGAGGGGTGAGAGTTGAGGTTGCAGAAAACCCCTATAAAAATGGAAACAAGCCATCCGTCTTTCTCCCGGCATCTTACCCCAACATTGCCCTTTGTGGGCCTCGCCTGACGTCTGTGGATGACTGCTCTGAAACCTGAGCCCAGCCTCAGCCGCTCCCCCCCACCCCTGCCCCGGGGAGGGATTCTGGGAGTC